CAATAGCTTATGCCTGTTACTAGGGCAGATCTACCAGACTAAATGGAATAGTTCACAGATCCCGGTTCGGCAGGTTCACGCTTGTGACGGTGCTCGGTTAAAGATTCAATGTCATATGAGTTACCCGATATAGCTCTAATGCCTTTGTGCTCCACGCCAAGTTAGCGGGGGATGTTTAGCGAAGGGTTTTTACTAAAGCTAGAGAGCGGCGCATGCGGTAGAGGTATGATACTGTACGAGCACCATCTTGGTGGGGGCGACGGGTGATCTTTCAAGCCCTTTAGAATATAATACATGTGTTACCGTTTATTGTTTCAGTTCACTTGGGGAGAGGGCAGGCTTGAACATCCAGGTCAAACGACCATGTTTCCACCCTCAAGGCGGATCTATGACAGCTCTGTAAGTCGCCGGTTTTATTCACGCCACTAAGGACCTAACCCAATCTTTAATTGTAGGAATGCTTCCTCTCCTGTGGCAGGTTCTGTCTGCTGTAGAATAAGGAGTAGGATATTAGAGATCTCAAGAAGAATCAAGGGGGGGTTACTCCCTGTGGGAAGTGATATGATACGGGAAGACACCCCGGGGGGCAGTGGGTCCCCCCAGGGCGTGGGGTATTGATCTTATCTCCCATTCTAGGATGCTAAACTAAGGCACCGGGCTTATGTGCGTGCTCCCTTGACACCTCACATTGCCCGCGCAGGGCGTAGGTTTCACCCTGGGGATACCGCAATAACTACGGCCTATTTATCAACATCAATTTAATCCTCTAAAGAGCTAGACCGTCATATTTTGCCTCCATTGAGTTTCCAGCATTTATCGAGAGGTTTTCTCTGCAGCGCTCTCGGGATTATGATTGTGGGGAACTGCTCCTAGTGTTACCGGTAGTAGGGCCCAGGGACCCCATTGCAAGACAAATTCGGGTAATGCTGTAAGTTACCACAGTATTGGGTTCCTGGTCCCTTGAGCTGGAGTCCGCTCGCTTGATACATTCGTGTTTAAAGATTGAGGTTCTTCTCTTTTTCCTGCATAGTGGGGTGTCTTCTCACCAGCAATGCCAACATGTGATGCCTCACATGGAGCCAGCAGGGGCTTATACTAAAAAAATAGAAAAACTCTGCGAGGCTCCCTTTCCGCAATTAACCTGGCCCCACTTTTTGCCTCCCTAATCGGGAAAGTTAGAATGGGTTCAACACTGCAAACGCCACAGCAAGATTTCACAATCCTACCCGGCGCCCTGAATTTGAAGCTTCATGGGTGCCCTAGGATAGTACTCCTCCTAGTATAAGACGCTATGGCTAGCACCCTACTACTATCGTGCAAATGCACAGCCACCGTTCTGCTGTTGGGTCGGTGTCGGAAAAATGGGGAGACCAGCTGAATACGGAACTAAGCACCCTTGCCGAGCACTCGAGCAGTATAGCCGGTATACGTCGGAAGCTGGCTTCATTAGCCTGGGATTAGGTATACTTAGAAGTTCCGTTTGAAGCAAGAATTTACTTTGACAGTGGCTTTTTATGAGCATTCTTATCATTGGTTTTGAAAATATATTTCTTGTGTTTTTGTTTTCGGATTAGGAATTTACCCGCCATGGAATTCTTCCGGCATACTGCAGTTACACTATCCCCTAAGAATTTCTCGTCATGTATCGTACCTAAAGTCATACCATAGGCTTAACCAAAACATTCAAAAAGTTCGGTCCGGCCATAACTGTCGGAATTAAGCGTTCGCACTATATCAGAGCCCAACAAGAGCTAGTCTTGAGTGAGTATATTACATGAAGATACTCTGTTTGAACGGGGCTACTGGAAATGCTGCCGTTGACCTACAGACTGGATAATAAGCTGATATCCTTACTCTAGCTCCCCTGTTTGCTCTTTCCCTATTTTTCTCTGAGTATTGTTACAACCTTTAGGCACCTGGGGCTGGGCTGGGACCGACGATTAAAGGCTCAGACGGTAAATATGTTAACTATTGGCAAGTAGACATGAACTTTTAGTTGGAAATTAAATTGTGTATTCTGCTAAAATTCGTTTTGGTAATGATGCTTGAATGTGCTTGGTCCAATTGGCTCACTGTGGGCACTGCTCTTGTTGGGTGCGGGATCTAGGTCTTGTTGAGCCTGCCGCAAAACTCCTCACCCTTCCCGTCTTGTGTTTTTTTTTGTTCTGGACAATTTGTACATAGCGCTTACAAAGGAATGAGAATCCTCCCTTAATATTTCGACTTGTAAACTTGATAACGAAACAGGAATACTGCAGACTTGACCTTTAACCTCATTATAACTACACCCCCATCAGCAGCCGCGATTAGGTCTTTTCCGGAATACAAGGAATTGAAATTCAAAAATTCCCAAGCCCACAAACCAGCCCGACACGCCACAAGAGTTACATGAGTCCCATATTTCAAGCCCCCGCCCGATTTTTCTCAAATGGATAGGCAAATCGAGCAGGGCGAGATCCCACTCTATCCGCCAATCTTTGGGGCCATGAGCTCAACTTCGGCCGACTTCCGCCCGTACACCTAGACCATACTCCCGATGTTCTACAACTCGTAACAAGAAAGAAGAACCCAAAAACAGGGGCCGTGAATTTTCATAGGGGCTCTGATCTGCGCAAGGCTCTTGATGTATATTTTCTGAATCTCTGTTTTTGGGCACAGCTTGCCGGATATGAGTCCGGTAAAAACAAGGGATAATTGAGAGGGACTCCGAGAGTCCAGAATTTCCCCCTCTGGATTAAGAGGGGAAGAAACGGCGAAGAGATTCTGTTTCATCCCTCAATTGAGATGAGTGAAACGAGGGAGTGTAGCAAACCTTACTAGGAGAGGGAAACTCGGAAGCCCCGGCTTGATTCTCAATTACCCTAGTCTTTATGGAATAGAATGGGAGAAGTCGGGTCTTTACAAGGAGCGCCCTACAATTTTGAGATTTTGGAGAGCCCACGCCAATTCAGCGTAGCCGACCAAATCCAGTGATTGATCTGCCAGCTTTTTTTCTTCATTATGCGTACATCGCTGAGGGTGTGGAACACAGAAAATCACTCGGAAACTGCCATCTTCCATGTTTAGTAACCTAAATTTACATAGTGTGTTTACCTTTTTTTTTCTGCACTCTAGCCCCCACTTCGCTTTTGGCTAGCTGTGACACTACCACTCGTCGGCGGCCACGGAAGCGCAATAGGATGCTTCGGATGATTCTGGAGGTGATGCGAGTATTGTGGATCATTTGGGAGGGCTGTGGATTGACATGGCGATTTAGCGATTTAGGGAGAAGATTTTCCAAACGCCCCCCACCCGTTATACCAGGGATGTGCGGAGGAATAGGGACAAGCATGGAGCAAGGGATATATGTGCGACGATCTATGGAAGGATAGCAAGGCTTTGATTCTGCTTTACATATGACTCCGTCTCAACCGTTAGTTTAGAGAGTGGGGGAGAGGAACAAGGCAACGAAGTTTCTGACCATACATTTCTCACACACCGCCGGAGTACAGAACTATTCCTCCTACTATACCTCTGCGCTATTTGTTCAAACCCCTCCCTGTGACATCCCTTTCTCGTTAATGTTTTTTACAATGTTTCCTCACCCCTTTTATCCTCTGAATTTCCTTTTTCGGAGGACACACACCCGCGACAGATATTTTTGGCTATGCCTCCCGAAATTTGCCGAAAAGTTGCTGCATTTGTTTCGGTTGTCATAGGGCTGTATAAGCTTTGCCTGGGGGACGCGAAGGAATTGTAGGGAAGAGGGTTGTTAGCTCTCCCCTCACCTATAGTTACGGTTTCTAGTGTTTCGGCTCCCTAAATACCCAGCGATACAAAGTGCTGTTTTTACATCATCCTCACAGCCCTACATCGCTTGTCCCACTATCCCTGGGGAGTTCCCTTCGTTTGGTTTCGCTGGGCTTCGCGGGACTTGCTGCCGGGTTGGATGTTGGGGCTTAAGAAATTAGCAGGAGAATATTTCCTCCACTCCGTCCCTAGGTAGTGTTCCTATACGTAGTCGTGCAGTTTTGAGTTAGCGTCTTTTATTACTCCAGAGCCCCGGGTCTATTTGATGTATTTTGGGGCCGTTCTTCGATCCAAGGAGAGCTTCCAAATCTCGGCCCTAGGCTCTCAGTGTCAGATGGAGGTGCTGCTTGGGTGATACTGTATCGAGTCATAGGAATATAAGGTTACACTACTGAACCCAGGTAGGACCAGCGCTGATGCCTCTCAATGCGAACGCCGGAGACATATTTTCCCATATACTCAAGTATGCCCCGGTGCTGGTGGATACGATACACATCAGATTTATAAGGTGGGATATATTCCCCCAGGCTAGCATCTCGCGTACCGAGCCCGGTGTTTGTATTTAAGAATATGACATGAAACACCGGGAGCGGCTTCCGGACTCACCGGTCGCGGAAGTGCGGTGCTCTCAGGCTCGCTCACGTCCAACAAAGCCCTTCCAGACTCACTAGATACCCAAATTGCGCGTTCCCCCGGCGCTAATCTAAGCTACCGGTAGTACAACTATGAAAAAAAACAAGGAAAATAAGACAAATAAGTGGGAATATCTAGCTATCCGGTGGTTTATAGGGAGGGCTCGTATTATTGTGTTGGGCTCTGAGGTTTTCTCAATATTACCGCATCGATTCCGGGCCATGCAGAGTCACGAAGTATGATTCGTGGGCACCAAAGGGGGGAGGCTACCGGCACTAGGTTTGGCGCTGATACACCGGACTTGGGGGAACTCGCCAGCATTCTGGATGGATAACAGGAAATGGAATGCGAAGGTGGTTTCTGAATTTTGATGCCAATAGTTAGAGCCGATCCTTGGACTCCGCTAATACTTCAAGACTTAAGGGGTTTGTAAGACTCACCTCGTCACCTGGACTGGAAAAATGGCTTCTCGTATTGGTTATTTCTGCTCACCATCATATGAAAGTTCGAATCCCATTTTTTAACCCCATTCCTTTTAGACATGTTCTATCCTCTTCCGGTTAACAAAGGCGACGAGATGTTCGCATTGTTTTTGTAGAGGAATGTGCCCAGGTCCGGTAATCCTTAAAAGGATGGTATCGCCCTAGGGATGCCTAGGAGCTCACTCTTAACCGAGGCTGAGAATAGAGAGCCTAACAAGGCAGTGTACTTTCGCAGAAATTCCGGGTGTAATTGAGACGATTTTTTTCTCATCCGGAGTGAAATTCTCAGGAGGGCTGCCTCTGGGTGCCTGGTGTGTTTTCAGTAATAAATTTGGATGCTTTGGCGGGGATAGTTAAAGGCTTAATCATGCCGGTACTCTAGGAAGAATCTGATCGAGCTCGAAGGGGAATCAGATTTTATCAGTGATGACTCCGAGTAACTTAATTACAATATACTCCCAGAAGATGGTGCGACAAATCACTACTCGGCAGTCCTCGGTACCGTTGGAACATCGTGTGTCGTCCCCTAAATAGATGGCTAATGTCTGATATAATCATCATTAGACCTCATAGAAACTTTAGAAGAACCTCCTTGGTTAGTCGGTGAGTCTATATATATAGAAACACCCCCGGAGGTGTTGCCCATGGGTTATCACCGTACTACAGCACTCCACGGTTGGGTTCTGTTCTCTCTGCCCAAATATAATGCCTAAGCTAGGTGAAGCGCGAGTCCCTGAAAGTGATGTGATATCAAAATATAGCATTTCCAAGTCCCCAAACCGAGAAAGAGCAAAAGATACACAGATAACAAGAAGAAATTTGGAAATCCCAACTCTTTCTGACTTCCGATAAATCAAATTCCTAGAAAGAGGCTTCAACCCTTCAACCTCCTTGCAGATGACCGAGGTAATGCCCATGAGAGCAAAGTAAATCTGGTGAGGGAAAATTTCGCAACCACAATCAACTTCCTGACCCACTTCCCCTTATCCATTTACTAGCGCTCAACGCATCCCGCTGAGTTTCCCATATCACATGCCCAAGGCTGATCAGCCGACCACCAAACACCCTCAGAACATCATCAACTTCAAGATCCTCGGCGCCGTCTAGTGGCGCGCCCCTCCCCTCCTCCCCGCCAAACGTCATCCTCGCCCAACAATGACGAAGGTGGCTGACCCAGGGTGCAGCACTATCAGGTCTCACCCCCGTTGCAATCAAGTAGAACGACGACCTAGTAGCGTGCGCTGATTTAGGCTTGAATAAGTTGATATCTGCGAACTGGCTAAAGCGGTATAACAAAGACACAGTATTCCACTGCTCCACCCTGTGCAGGAGAACAAGCATCGTACCGCCAGGCTTGATGTTCGTGAGTGCAAGGATCAACTGTGAAAGCAGAAGTCTCCCGGGCTCCCATGAGCGGAGTTCCGCCTGTTCATGTGTGCGCAGTCGCTGGCCGTCGCAGATTACCAGGTCATATGGGGGGGACAACTGCGGTAGCGGTGGGTTCGTGGTGAATGCATGGTGGTCCGGGAAGTGCTCTGGCACGCTCATCCCTGGGGGAAGGTATATAGTGTGAAGGGTCAAATCTGTAAATGATATGGTCAGGTTGCGCCGGCCTGACGTGCGGACGAGCAATTCATGGCCGCCACTCTCCGGCGGGAGGGTTATCCCGTCCACGATGCATCGAGGGTTTCTCCTCAGCGCGAACTCGGTGAAAGCACCCGGGGCCATGCAAACATCTAGGACTCGCTGCCCAGCTTGCTGAGGGAATATTTCCGTGGCGTGATTAATCTCCTCTGCGATCTCTAACATCCTCTTGAAAAATGCGTGTTGGGTTTTTTTGTTACTAGCAGATGAATCCGCGGTGACCCTTTGCTTGGTGAAATGGCGTTCTGCCTCGTCGGATTCCCAGCCCTGGTGAAATCAAATAGATAGAAGTCAATAATTTGAACGTCATGTTAGAATAAACCCAGCCGGTCACGGAGAGACGGGTGATCCCATGTTGGAGGGGATGATAGGAACAAACCTTTGCTCTCAACACACACAGATCATGGAAGACTCTGACATTGTTTTGCGCAAGAAAATCCTTAATAGCATTCGATTTCCGCGTCTGGCTTCTGGTGTCCTCTTCTTGCTCCATCTTGTCCTTCTAATTCCAAACAGGCCAAAGGATAGGAAGCCCCAGACTGGAAAAGTGGTACTGAATTTGATATTAAGTACGGAGGAAGAAGAATAGGAAGAAGAAAGGTAACCTTCTCAAGTTAAATACTCATCAACAGCCGCGGGATAGGTAAGGTGAATAGTGAAATAAATTGAGATAATGAAAAAAGAAAGGGAACAAGACCTGGTACTCCAAGATGGTTCCATTGGCTTCCACGAGGGGGAGCTCCGCAAACCACCGGTCATGATCGCCAGCGCCAAAACCCCTTCCCGACCACCTAGGCTCTGGACCCCCTGTGCGCAGACTACACTATGTCTACCCCAATAATATTCTTGTCAAGTCGATATGGGAAGCGGAGAGAGGGATACGGACTAAAGCGAACAGAATTAGGGCTATAGTAGTCAACTCTTGCCGGAGTGCAAGGAAAGGCGGGGAGGGGGTAGTCCTTATTCAGTAATTACGCTTGGTTGGCTAGCTGGAATATAAAGCGTTACAAATTCTAAATATAACCCCTCTCTGAGTGGTTAGGATGCTTTTATGCCGGACGGGACTAAGCTCTCGTTAAGGTATTAATGAAGAACGCCACAGATGGAAAGCAGGGTGTTCGGGCAATCACGCTAACAGTTGTGATCCGGTGAAGGGATGGGGGTTTTTTCGATTTTGTGGTTTTGGCGAACACCCTCCGGATATAACGGAAGTTCAGTGCTGTGCACTCAAAACTACGAGACAGTGCGGGAGGGGGCATATCAAATCCAAAGGTGGATCGCTTTTTTGTATCTTTTAGGTTTCTGGGTAAAAGATTATTCTTATCGCTAGGAGCGCAAGTCGATCTATCATACTGCCCCAGGGATCAGGACCGGGCATTTCCTCGAATTTAGCAGCGAGGTAGAACGCTGGGTCCTTCTTCCGTGAGCGCTATTGGCACCGATATACACTGGGGGTATACTGTATGTAGAGCTGTGGCATCTCACTATTGCATTTAACTATCTACTTGCAGTTCCTGTACCACGTAAGTCCACGGAGGCTTTTGCCAGTCAGACGAATGACAGTAAAGCCACTCTCCCCTTTTCTGCACTCTCTAGTATACACACCGTGTGTCCATCTGGTGTACAGCGGACGCTGTCTCCAATTAACCTAGTTTGTACTATTAGCCCACACTTTTCAACAGACTTCCGTTTGCCAATATGATAGCTTATTGGTGAAGTTTTGGGATGTGGATGTATAGTAAACATGATTGCTAAGTTATTATATGGTTCTTGCATGAGGTGTGTATTGTTGAACGATATAATATGATACCGTAGAAACTGCTTCTGCAGTGTTCTAGAGCAAGGGGGTTAGGGATATGCAGAGTAAGCCTGATGAGTGCATAGTTCTTACAAGACGGGTGGAGTGAGAATTAGATTGGACCACCTCTGGGTAGTGGAATAAGAAAAACTTTCTTTTCCATTCGCACGATTCCGGTAGGCTCAGTAGACCGCCCCAGTCAAGGGGTAGTATGAAAGGCTAGAGAGGAGGATGGAAGAAAGTTATGAGGGGCTTTCACAAGCACAGTGCTGTACTCCATCTCGATAGGGGTGCTCTTCAATAATGCTCTAGTAGGGAATATCTTGCGATAAGGTGCCTAGACCCACGTACAATAAGCTTGCCCTTAAAATCCAAGTTGATCACAGTCGCCAAATAGTATGCTCGAGTAGAGGGCTCTTAAAACTTCCATTATGCGGCTATTTGGACTGTTGCTGCACACAAAACTTATCCCCCCCCCACCGGTCACCAAATGCCTTCGCAGTAGAGAACAGCACAGGGGACCACCTCTACCATCTTGAGAATTCTTGGGCAATTGGTGAATATATAGGGTTTCCTAAAACCACTAAATTTCTGTCCTGGATGTATAACCAGCTGAGGCTTCGGAATAAAATACTAGCACGGGTTGCAACAATAATATTTTACATACACCCCCGCGACCCTTACATTGCGCAGTAATCTCTTATAATGCCCACCGGACTCTAGAAGCGAGCGTCTCGATCAAACCGTTACACTATCTTAGAATATTCGCTTCACCTGTTTTCCTCTTACACCACCCCTAGATACAACAGTGCGACCAGGTATCAAATTAAAAGCAAGTTACCGCGGAACGCGCCAAGTTCCGCACGGGAATTTGCATTCGCATACATAGCTACATAACCCAGTATCCTTGACAATACCACACCAGTTCCAGGCTGTCAGATTCCATGATAAGCTATCATAATGGAAGCCCACGCTATGGATTCCAAGTGGCGCTGTTGCGTAACCCGTCTCACTCAGCCTTCCACCATGCCAAGTTACCCGGATAATTATCGCATTGTCCGCACACAACGCGGCACTCCGTTCTGAATAGCGCAGCGGATTTGTCCCGAACAATCGAGAGATTAGAAACGCCGGCGCAGAGTGCAGCGGAGAACTATGTTCTAATCCGGTTGACGATCTTCGAGGATCTGCTCCAGATGTCCAAAAACGCGCTTATCCAAACCTATTCCGACCAACATCCGAAAGATGAAACCTTCGAAAGTTCCAAATTTCATGCGAACTTATTTGGAGAGGTATGTTCAACTCCTGAAGAGAATGAGTAAGGATTGTACGGGCCGGTTAGTATAATGGAAAGCATGATGTCAAACCCTGAATACATGTGGGAAGGCTGTGGTAACCGACACCCGACGGGCAGTGATGTTTGGGTACAGTAATCTGAGGCATCGTAGTTCGAACTGTATCAATCTGTAAATAGGATGTGGTAGTGATGTCGTGTGACGAGACCATTTAAAGGTACAAGAACACATCCAATATTTTTACTGCGTTTTCATCATTGTTTCATTGATTAAGGTACACTTACAAGACACATACAGTATTATCATCATCAAATATGTATCTGCACGTCAAAAAAGCTTCAGTTGTATGTAACAGAGCATCCTGGGGACATCGATCTGATTGTGTTTCATGTTTAATTTGATTGGGAAAAGTGCATTTCTAGTCTAAACTCCTTTTATGCGAGCACCATGCAGTGCTACGGTAACTTTAAACTTCCGGCCAAAAAAGAAAAAGAAAAAAGCTGGCTTGTTCAGGGAACCTCCGAAATTCTTACGAGAAGGAAAAAGGGAAGATTATGATACCACAAAGCCCATCACATTCAGCCCGCGGTGCTATATTCCGCGTTTAATCCGCTAACAAATAATTTACCGCGGCGCGGGGTCGCGCGTCGGGGACTTAACTACGGAGGTATATGTAGCACCTCAGTCTTGTATATTTATATTTTACTAGCCAAGGGGTGCTCGGCTAGCGGGGGCGGGGCCGCAAATTGGGTAATTTTCAGTGAGAGTTACCCGATCCGTGGCCAAAATTACTCGATTCGTGGCATTTACCCCTGGTAACCGAGCACCCCTTGGCTATGATAGTAAAATATACAAAACTTGGGTGCTGTACGAGTACTCGTACCTTCGTATGAAACAGTCTTTTTCTTAGTGAGCCTAGTAACTAGGGCAGTGGATAGTCGGGGGGTTCACTTCGCACCTGGAAAGGGTGTAGGAAAGGTGTGGTCATAAGCTTCATTAACTTGTCTCGCACTAACGGAAAATACAGGAGCATACACCGATATAAAACATGTTATCAGCATCCGGATCCTTCCACGGATCACCACACATATCTGCATCCCTCGATGCATGCCCCGCCCCCCCGCGCATTCCGGTTATGAAAAGGGGGAAGCATATCTGGGAGACCTTCTCTACAAACCAAGACAATTCTAGAACAAATGAAAAGACCCACAGCACACCCGGAACTTCCACGAACCTCGACAAATAAGTTTCCTCCAGTAACTCCAACAGTTTTCCCCATCTCTGATGCGCCTTTAACCAACCTCCGCCCTAGGGGCCTCCCGGGAAGGTTAGAGGGTAAAGCCATCTCAACAGGTATTTTCATCCCATCGCTCTACGATAGCTCTCCACTGTTCTGGGGATATAGCTATTACCTTTTCCCTGTGAGACTGATTTCCGCCGCGAGTGATTCCAAATGATTACAATCTAACGTTTTTTCGAGGCACTGCAAGCGAAATTCATGCATCTTACTCTCCCCTTGAGTGTGGGCTGTGCACAGTACAATACCATGGGGAATGTAGTGCGGTCTTACCTCGCTATCCCGGACGACTAAAATCCGAAGAAACTGTCCGGTTCAACTTGTGATCCGGGACAACGGGTCAGGCTCTGGTGTTGGATTCGCAATCAGACAAACTTTATTTACTAAGTCGAGGGCACTCACCGAAACGGCATTACACCCGAGGAATTACGTCTAAGATGTAAGCTAACTCCGATTCGACTATCCCACAGTACATCTGGAAAATACCACCCGCGCTCCCTACAGCTGGATCTGCAGGAGTTCATACGGGACAACGAGGCTTAACTGTATTCCTACGAGCACTGATTACATACTTTAAACTACCAATAAACGACCTCAGCCTTGACCAAACCCGTCCCTCCATGCCTTCCTTTTGCCGATTGGGATAGGATAGGGTAGGGTGGGCGGACACGGCATCGGCAAACCTTATATCGCTCCGTCTCGTCCGCAGACGCGGGTTGAAGTGTGACACGGGGCACATGTGACGCACTCGATACCGCTGATAGGCTGGTGTGATGGGATGCGCTAGTTGGTGCTAGTCCTGAAGTCTGGTGACATCCCAGTGCTTATTGTACCTGTATTGGTAGGAATATCCTGGTTGAACAAGCATGGCACCTACTGTGCGGGGAGATATAGCGTGCTTACATGTAGGGAATGCTTCCAGCAGGAGAGTAGGGAGTCTGAACTTATAGAGGGTAAGATATTGGTACTCTGACGTACCCCACGAACTGCACTGTGGGCATGAAATCTATAAATTTACCGTGGCTGCTGCCGCACATGAATGAACCCTATAGGGGCTAGTTGCGAAATGAGGGGACAATTTCTCGTTGGGACGCATTCACTAG